TTACGTGTTAGATTTGGAAAAACCACTCGTAGCTCGGAACCTCAAATTTGGCATAGTTTGGGGGTAACTACATGCAAGGCCAATGTCGAGCAAGTCTAGCAAGTAGTCCAACACATTAGCAACAACATCACAAGCGGTTTGTTATCAGTGAGATCTGTGGTGCACTAACTGTCCTCCGCGTCAAGGTTTCGAAGCTCAACTTAAGTGTGATATGGCGTACGCAGCACGAAGGTGGTTACGAGTGTGATTTAGTTTGTTACGCAAGCGAACCTAGCTCACATCCACCATGTTGAGCAGCGTTTAACTTCCCTCCAAATCCTTCCATCACGGTCATGGTAGATGACTACAGGCACAGCTATCGTCTCATGATGTGACAAAGGTCACTTTACCGTCGACACCATGGGTTCAAAAATTGTAAGGTGCAGTGCAGATAGTTTCAGATATTCCATAGGAAGACCGCTTAGTTAACGATTTAGAACCGTCCTGTTCAATGAAACATGACTGTCAGCATCGTACGCAATTTCCTAGCCACATGCTACCTTAGGTACCATGAAAGATAAGCATATTACGGCGAGAAAATGTACTGCATCCACGAAGCCAACTCTCACGCTATATAGTTACCACGTCCATGATAAAAGCTCCTAGGTCACGACGAAAAACGCTAAATCCAGCGGTTACGTAAACCGTGCCCCTGTGATAAAATCCAACTAACAGGTACGTATGACAATAAGAGTTCTCTCTTCTACTTACATAACATAAGCTATCGAAAAATGTCCGCTGGAGTTACCATTGGAACGCCCTAACTGAACGATTTTATGTCCACTAGGCTTTCCAGTTGGACAGTTTGGGGAAGAAGTTTCGCCACGCAGAAATCGTTTCCATCTTATTCACAACGCATAAAAAGAAAAGTAAATTTTCTAGTTGCAAATAACTTCAAATATAAGCAAAAACCGATTACCAGCTCGTGAGTACAAAACGCAAAAGCTTCAGGAATAAACCGAAAAACTTTGTGTGACCGAAAATCTTTGCAACTACGCCAAACTGGAACGGCCTGGGGATTGAAATACAGCAAAAAGAGCGCTAGAAGGTCAGTTGTGTAGAATAAAAGCAAAGTATCACTACAAAACATAAACATATAGGAAACAGGTAGCGGAATGCAAAATGTATATTAATAGTTCACAATTTATCTGGACATATTGATCAAGTTATTTGCACCTTCCCTTTCGACCTTCGCAAGTGACAAAACTTACGCCCAAGTCGGACAGCTGGCCGTCCAGCTGTGCGGACAGGGTAGTACAGCAACGGATCCCCGTTCCATGTGTGCATGAGTAATTACGGTTCACACCCAAACCAAATACGGGACTGATAAAGCACTCGCTTCACTGCTCTTGGTAACTTATCGGAGCTAACTATTCACAAGTCGTAGGTGCATGAAGCGCTTTCTGGACATAACACCTATGGAAATTCATCCTAGTTGTCACACTGGCTTGAAAAGAACTTGTGCCATCCGTGGAACAAGCACTGTGACCTCCGGATTATTAACCACACTAAAGTCTTAGTGTACAGCTTGGTTCATAGCCAAGCGCAGTCTCATGAAATCTGGAAAATTCGTGCGCTATGGACATCACAGGAGGGGATTTGCTACGTGCATTGGTTTACATGTGATCTAGCCGTTTGATCATAAGCATCTGTACATTCCGGCTCAATGCGCCACTCGTTCTGGGTCTGTTGTCCAACGCACGTTATGTGTCCATCTCACGCAATTGCTTGAACGGACAAGGATCTAATAACTTTAGTGCAGGGACAATGATTCTCGGGCGTGACAGAACTCAAAGACAGCTGCTCTATCCGTTGACAGACACCGTTAAAGAGACAAGATGAGGCATGCTCTAACTGCTTGGCTTCCATTGCCCTAACACCATCCTACCCCACAACTGATGATTAAAAGTGTTATCTATTACATCCCTGTCACTTAATGCGTCATGGAGCAGGTGCGGCCCGCACCACTTTGCCCCCTGCATGCTTACATTTGGCTCCATACTAACACAAGACGTGCTATTATCTGACAGCGCCTGACTGATGTAGCAGCTATGCGCCGGTGCCCACAAAACACAACGCTGGCGCACGGACGGAACAACTTGTAAGCGTAACGAACGGATTTGAAATCTCTACGGCCTAACTTGATTGTGCTGTAAACGTAAAAGTCTGTGGAATGGTGTGGACATCGCTTGGATCCTTGAGTTTTCCAAACCAAGTCGCCGCTGGCAATGCGCTTAACCGGATTTTAGCACTACCAGAGTGCCCACCTTAACAAAAAGGATCGTCCGTCCTATACATAAAATAAATGTTTGCTATTGCTTTCCGATTTGACAATTTTTCAAGATGAGGCTCATTAATGCAATCGGATACGACAAGCATTGAAACCTGCGTTTAGCCTGTGTGCAGATAACAGTTCTCTGATAGTTTCATTCGGTTGGCTTATTTAGAACATGAACCTCAAATTCTGCCAAGAGTTTAAACTGGCGTTTAAGGTTACATATTTATCCTTCGCAACTCTATTTGTCTTTATTCCACTTCAGTTTGGATTACTTCTTGATACTAGTCTTTGCAGACATTTAGACGGCCATACTAAACTAGGAGTTAAAGCGTGTTTGCGAACCCAACGTTACCAATCGACGCAGCATCATCAGACTATGCGGGCGTGATGCGCTCGGGTGAAGCGACCAGCAGCTGAAATTTTAACTTTCGCGACAGCGGACGCGCATCGCATGACATCGCTTGGCTAGCTGGCGAGTGCCGGCTAAATCTATTTACGGCAGTAAAGCTGCGTTCTGCGCGATTCAAATGTTATCTACATGCTTTATCTCAATGGCATCAGACCATGCAATAATAAAGGAGCATCACTTTTTCACACGTGCCTGAATAGGTCATGGGGACCGGAAACCTCCCGGCGATCACCGCGCTATGCACAACGTTACCGCGCCAAATCGACACACGTTCTGTATCCCGTAGCTAGGGCGTCGTATGAGACATACTAGTAGACTCCAATTGGTTTGTGCATACAGTCAAATTCCCAAACAGAGGCGGACCTTGCCGAAGCTATCGGGACGACCCTGTTGGGTCTGCTTGAGCTTTTGAGCTTGTCACCTGATCTTAAGCATGCTACATGAATTCTTCAGCTCTTTTATGAGCGAGTTTGTAGCTAGTTAGCTGCGCCTATGTTTATCTAGACGATATAATCGCCAGCTTCTCAAGGGAAGAGCAATTGCGCTAAGTGCTGGCCTTTTTGTCTGGCTGTTTATTTCAACACGGGATGAAGATAAAAGCTGAATAGTTTCTTTGCTGTGGATTCGGTCAATTTTATTGGCCGTCCTATCTGCAATACTGGCGTCTTGCCACTAAGGGACAAAAACAATATCTCACGGACTAATCGGAACCACATTTGTTTGGATAGCTAAGTAGATTTGCTTGCACTATTAGCTTTTAAATCTACTTCTTGGCTGGAAGCCGCTTATGTACCCCTTCATGGACCTCTGAGGGGACCACAGAACGTTCGATTTTTCGGTTGCAGCAGGCACGGCGTTCATATTATTAAAATAGTCTATCGCCATGGCTTTTTTAGCGTAGCACGAACTGGCGGCCCATCGTTGCGCGTTACCAAAGCTTCAGATGTGGCAGTTAGCGCTGTTATGCACCAACAGGTAGGCTACAACTGGCAACCGCTAACCATTTTCTTTAATTGTGCGCAACTATCCGAACCGCGTTGCAGCATATTCGTTAGCGGAATATTTGCCAACTACCTAATTATATGTCTCTTATGGAAGGTTTTAAAGAGGTACATTTTTTGTCCTTGCTAGGCACACACAAATGACTTTAGTACCTTGACTGAGAAGCCATTTGTGCTGATAGCTATGGATTCAGGAATAACTAATATTTGCATGCTCTTGGTCTAGATGTACGCACGTGATGCGTGTGCATTATGCATGGTGAAGATATACGGCGATACTGTGAACGTGAGGTGGGTAACAGAGGATTACACCTAGAAAATCGAGAGATTTGTATGAACTTACGAAAATACCTAGCGGCGAAAGATTAGAAATTTTGTATTTGCGTAAGGCGTCACTAACTAATTACAGTTTTAGCTGCTAATGCGAAAGCTAGCGTATAATCGAGCGTGGATATCAAAAGGAAGGAAATTCGGACACGGTGGCCTGTAGTAGCTATAGGCACCAAGAATTTTGGGGCCAATGAAGCGAACATGAGCGAACTTTTTCACAACGGCACACCTAATGTACAAGTGATGAGCTTTATTTAGGCAAAGATGCCATTAATCTAGGGGGTAGTAGAACAAAAAGGAATGTTGCAAAATAGCTGTAATTCAACGGTACCTAAAAGATAATTCTTATTTTTTAGCTCCATAAATTTCAGGTGTGAACACCTTTTTCTTTACACATAATTTGGACGAATGTGGCAGAAAGGCAAAGTAAAATTTCTATGACTTCATGATGTGCTGATGAATGAGGTAAGGTATATTTTGCCAGCGGGTAAGAGTCCCGCAAAAGCGAAGTTGTGGAGGCAGCATGACTTGTGTTAAACAGAAATAGGATGTTTGTATCAAAGTTCTGACGGGATAGTGCATAAATGATAAGAGTCATAGGGTTATAGATCAGGTTTCTTCTTTTTGCAGGGACTTGCTCTTAAATTCTGCGGCGGAAAGTAGCTGTTGGGAAACTATTTTCTATAGAATAGCAGCAAGTTGTTGACAGTACCTTGGTCACGTTGCATTTACTGGTGGATATGGGTAATTTACGAAACAACACCAATTGTTTTGTGTGAAAGACTAAGCTGGCAGACGGAACGACTGGACAGCACTACACTTTCAACTGGCCTTTTCTTTCCGCCAATCCAAAAGCGTCTCGTGTACTGTAGCGCAACTACAAATACCGGCATTAATTTAACTTTAACTAACTGCGCAACTTGAAACCTACTGCTACTTTTTAATGTCTGCGATTGTTGGCCATGGGGTTTATTTGCAGTTCGTTTACTTTGTGCTACAAGCCGTTATATCCCGTGCTCTGGGTGAGTACCTGAGTAAAACTTTTTGTGAAATAACTTACAGTCAGACACCGTTGCATAGGAAACCTATATTTTCGCGTTCTGTCCCTCTGGGTACTGCGCATATACACAGGAAACTCACTTGTAATACTGTGAGTCAGTATGCTTCTAGGACGACCACTGATTGAGATACTGGTGTTCTTAAATGAAAAACATAGGAATAGCTCCTTGTTGCACTACTTTGCATTTAACCATGTGCGTAGGATATCTTAAAACTCCTAAATAGAACAGGTCGGCCAGTGGAAAAGAGGATTGCAGGCCTGGCTTGAGGCCCTTAGGTCACCGGTTCGAATCCGCGTAGGGGCTGGCGTCCTCCCGGTACACTCAGCCCACTCGCGACTGGTGTTAGTCACGTGTTAGCGAAGCGCCGATACAGTGTACTGTCGTACTACTGACTTAAAACAAATAAGACAGGTGTAACGTTTCTTATCTTAGTTTGGTTCAATGAATTGCGGCAACATGGAGTATTCAAGTGCCATATCAATCGGGTCGCGCTATAGTGTGCTTACATTCATATTAGTGGCTTGCATCCAGGAAGGCCTTCTGCTGTATGTCTTTTGTACCCTAGAAAACAAAATGTACCAACATTTAGTTTTTACTACTTTCTATTTCAACAACTTAAGGCGGAATAACTTCATGAATACGCAAAACGCACGAGTTAAGTACGTACATAAGAGAACACTGTAGACATAGGCGAGGAACATTATGTGCAGCTGCGTCCAACATTTTGTTTCGCAATTCGTGAAAAAGCCAGTGTTTTTGGTCTACAACTTGTCCCGTCACATATATAGCGTTTCCGTTTGCTTCTGCTCGATAATAAAGTACTTTACATCGAGTTTAGAGACAAATTTGCACAATTACCTTCAGTCAATAGGGCACTACAATTCCGGAAAACACTGAACGGCCAGTGATGGATCTGATCAACCCCTGACAGCATGGTTTTCTCCCAAAATGCTCCTGTGTTACATGCCAGCTACCATTTCTGGATCACATCACGACTGTGATTGACAGAGGAATGGCAATTATTATAATTCTGTTGGGCATGCAAATGGCGTTCGACCGCGTGCCACACCAGCCACTGCTGTCTGCTCTAGAGTCATTTGGAATTGGAAATCCGCTGCTTAATTGGTTCGACTCATACCTAAACGGTCGAACTCAGATAGTTAAAATCGGTCAGCAACATTCTACACCGAAGCCAATAACCAGCGGTGTCTTCCAGGGAAGTATGCTCGGACCACTAATTCTCCTAATCTACGTACACAATATATCTGAGCCGATTAAACCTGGACACCTAATTTTGTTTGCAGATGACGTCAAACTGGTTTACTCATTTCATCCAGACCAACTACAAATGTGCCTAAGAAACATCTGTGAAGACCTATCCGCACTAAATATAACTAGTGAGCGTTTATTAATGAAGTTCTCCGCAGTGAAATCCCAAGTACTTGGGCACAGATGCCGCATCCCAGAAGGCGCCATCATATTTGCCGGAAACTTGGTTCCAAAGTCTGATTCAGATCGGGACTTAGGAATTAGGTGCTCCAAATCTTTCAATTTCTGCGGCCATGCACTTCATCAGTTTGCGAAAGCAAGGTAGTTATGCGGCTAAATCACCAGATTTTTCTACCTACCTGAAGTAAGACTTGAGTCATTCAACACAATCGTACGACCGACTCTGGAATATTGTCCTATCGTTCACAGCCAAATGCGAAAGAAAGTGAGAACGGCTGTAAAAATGTCCAACGATCATTAACCAAGCTGGTCATGGGGCGCTGCTTAAAACTGACTTATTATGATCGCTGTCGATAACCGCAACTGGGGCATCTTTGTCTGAGACTCTTAATGAACAATCTCGTTCTCTTCTATAACATTATAAACTAACGAACTTACGCAGACAACACCGTACTTGAACTACGAAAGACTGCAGTCTACCCCACACGTAATGGCGGCTATTTGATACGTACAAACATGTCAAGTCATAAAACTCGATCGAATGTCTTCTTAGTGAAATACACTGATCTGCGTAACAAACTACCCCTACAGATATGCATGTGTGCAAGCTATGTGACTTTTCGAAATTTCCTTCAGACCTCCCTCACTATACTAAATGTGTTGAAGATATTTGACTCACAGCAAACGCTAGAAACATTGACAGAAGCTGGTAGAAAGAAGATTTGAGCTGATATTCGCTTATAACTAGCTTACCTACTACATGTCATTACCTACAATACCAAATCCTGTCTGTGCAGCCTAGTAGCCCCTGTCTTTTATTATCTACTCCTGACGATACAAACATCTGTAAAGTTTACATATTAGGTGCACGGGTCTAGGACCCAAGGAAAAAATCTTGATCCGAAATTCTATTAAGAAACTTTTCTTTATTATTATGATTCACGCCGCATAAACCATGAATCCAATTCACTATACAAATGATCGCTCCCACTTATGGGGCCGTGTACCATCTGTGGGTAAATCTACAAATTTATTTATTATTTGTTTATTTGTGACTGCTTACACTCGCAGCTCAGTTTGTTTCCTTATGAAGTGTCCTAATCCAGAAGAAATCTGTCATCTGCAGCTTTGGAGGTGAGCAGCTCTAAAACTCTACACTGGACAAGCATTTCGTTGAATCAAAATCCATCAGACACCCACATTCTCTTTCAGCAAAGTGGTGGGATAAATTGTGACTCCTTGGCTTAGAGGCCGTAAGCGGGACCAAGGGGCAATGAACATGACGTAACTTAGCGTGACAAGGCAACTAGAGAGTATATAACGCAACCTATCCTTCGCTGTCTCTCCGACTTCTATCAGCTAGATGGCGCTCATAGCTTCCGTAAGTGAATGCGCCATGGTTGTGAGGACAACTATCAAACAGGTTTCTCTGCTGCGTGGGCATACATGTCATACGAAGCTGTCAGCTTCCGTGTGGCTGTCTCAGTCTGTTGAAGTAAAAGTTGGATCAACATCCGTCCGACCCACACTTTCCTTTGTGCTGTATTCTCACTGGTCCATTCCAAAGCTGTGCTGATAAGCGACGATTTTTCTCTAATTTATTGTGCTGCCATGTATAGCGGTGGATTAAACTGAGGTACAGTATTCAGCAGGCTTTATGGAGGAGACAGTTTAAGCGCCTTTGCTAAATCACCTCTGTTCAAATCTGTTTTTCTTTTTATTCAGCTTATCGTCTGTAAGCACTATCAAAACAGCCTCCATCAACATAATTTGATAGGTAACAAAGCAAGACCGATACAAAACTCAATTCTATGTACTAACATTTTGTACATTATAAGGATCCTATGTGTAAACAATCATCATTCTGCATGCAATATCGTTTTGGTTAAGCGGAAGTTTTGCACTTATACTATGCTCGATGTTGTTCCAGTGTCATAAAATTAACACTGCTTGTTACCCTTCTTCTAAAGATATCACTGCAAAACAACAATGCTCTGCGTACTTCTCGAATACATCGGAAGGAAATATTGTCAGTCGGAATTATCCCAATTATTACGATCCGGACGATTTCTGTAGCTACGAAGTGGAAGTTCCCAGCGGTCAGCGCGTGAAAATAGCCGTGTCGGAATTAGAAGTAAGTGCATGTATTATGGAAGTTAAGCCAATTTGCGCAACCAATCTGTTAGCTAAGTTAGGTATTTCACAATGACACATTTTCAGCTGTTGCGTATGAAAAAATCTGAGAGATGTCTGTGACGACCGTCATCATTGTGGCTGATAAGCTGGGCAAACATTGTTCATTATTGTCGCAAATTCTTTGCCATTTCAGCTGCTCGAGGATGACGGATACTATTACGATTACCTCGTTTTGTTCGACGGTCCTAACTGCGCGTCACCACGTGTGGAAGTTTTGACTAATGGGAAGGACGAACCCATTATCACAACCTCAAACCATTTTTCGGCATTGCATGTAGCATCCAAAACCTTACGCCGAAAGGGTTTTAACATTACATATACTTCAATTGCTGAAGACAGTGTTGGGACCTATCCGGAGTTTATAGGTAAGTAGACGAATACCATTATGGAGCATCCCGATATCTGTAACTTGTTACTTTTTGTTATTTATACTTTGCTGATATCTGCCACCTAACAATTCTCACCCGGTGTCAATTGATGCGGTATACCCTGTTCCATGAGCTACACAAACAGTTAGGAGATGCTTGGCACGTGACTGTGTTCAGCCATCCCAAGCGACAAATTATGGGTAAAATCCGTCTGTTGGATGTAGTTGGTGTCTTTTGACCTAATTGGAACGCCGCTGGTGCGTTGTGAGAAGCCGTACACGATGACTTTAAATAGTTGCAATGGAAAGAAGAACAATGGAACAATAGTTTCAGACGGGTAAAAAAGCACCAGGTCATCCTCACACACGCGTGACGTGCTTGCTCCTGGATCATTTGGATTATTCCCCTCTATCCCCTCTCCATCTTCTCGCAGCGTTTTCACTGTACGCTCATTCGAACCGGATTTACCAGCTCCACACATTAATCCATCATACGTGGAAATATCTTCTACGATTAGAGGCTGCACCATCACTAACCTTCTTCACTGGCATCTGTGATTAAGCGTAAGCGCTTAATTCAATCATATTGAGCCGACTGCCTTTCTGTGTAACACCATTCGATACAGAATTCTCGAGGTAGGCCGAAAAGCCTAAACTTATTCCGATCCAGTGTTTCTCAACACACCTGTGAAAGAATCTGTGGTCTGTGATTTGTCAATCTGTGTTCAGCGCTCTGTTCAGGTTCCAGTCACTTGCCACTCCTTGTGACCTTGTCAGCCAGTGCGCCTGCATAACCCATCACATGGACTGCGGGACCACGCCGACCGCACATTTTACCTTGCAACCAACACGCTAGCCTGACCCAAGTGCGTCGCTCTCAACGCTGTAAAAGTACAGAACGCTAAGCAACCCACTGGGTCAGGTAACGACACCTAATTGAATGGCAGAAAGGCGAAACCGAAGAGACTCCCATCAAAAGGCATTTGCGGGTTAGGAGAATGTCATCCGGTAGTAAAAGTCGGTCTGGCTTGTTCGCACTGTTTGGAATGGTACCATACGAAATGTGCAAATGTGTCCCAACAACAGTTACGGGAGCGAAATAGCTCCCAAGATGCATTTTGGTTCTGTACTGCGTGTTCCACCATCCCCCTCTTTAAGTGCTTGTTTATCCTAGCTGAGAAATGCGACCGGTTAATCACAGAAGCAGAGCAGAGGATAAACAATAAGATTACCTCAATGGAAGCGAGTATGGACCACAAAAGCGTAGCGGCTGCTAAGCAACGGAATGCTGAACAATCCGCTTCCCCTGAACCGCAATCAGCCACCTCTCCATCTCCGTTGTCTTCTCCAACTTTGGTAGAACGCCGGGCAAAAACAGACTGTACCTACGTGAATCAAACAGTACACACGGCAACGAAAATCAGGCACCATTCAAAACGTCTGGTTAAGCAAATTCCACTAGACCTGACGTCTGGAAGTAACAAGGATGAAGCAGCCAAACACCAACCCTCGGTACCTGTAGCTCAAATACTTCTTGTCGAGACTAAGTCTCCCAGAATATCGGTTACCTATGCAGAGATTGCAGCCAGAGTCCACCGAGAGGTCGCCGTTCCATCCTCTTCCATTGTAAACACCGTTCACGCAAATGGAGAGAAAAACAGCAAACAATCACTTGTCAACAAGTCAGGACAAATGAGTACCATACCTTGTAGCTCGAAGAAAAATGAATCCAAAAACAGTGCCCGGACTGTTGTATGCTCAAATGTCCCTGAATCTACTGCCATCACATTGCGGGATAAGTTATCTGACGACCAAGACCAATGGAACTCATTGTGTATGCAGATGAGTATCAAAGCCAAGCCCATAAACCTGTTACGAATTACTCGTCATTCGAACTCGCCACACTATGGGGAACCCAGACTTATTCGAGTAACTCTAGAATTCTCCACTGACGTAGAAAACGTTTTGCTCTCCGCAAGCACGCTAAAACACGAATCCTGTGGGATACCAATCTATCCTGATATCGCTTGGAGCGCGCGACAACCAAAACGAAACACCGAAGAGAGGCACAGCAAGCAAGACCGCCTAAATACAATCTTCATACATGGCGTGCCAGAACATACTTCTAACGATGTTCAAGAGACCGGAAAGCACGATTTAGAACATTGGCGGTTCATTCGTAAAACACTTTCATTGGATAATGTTGTGGCACTATCGCTCACCAGGATACCTCTCTCACCGAATTATAGAGGATGCGGCCCTAGAATCCTAAAACTTGTGGTTCAGTCAGAGTAACAAGCAAAGGATGTTTTGGATCGATGGTGGAGAAATCGGAAACATCTTCGTTCCGAAATTCGGTTGAAGGTCGCAAACAACTTGCACAGCTCACATATTAAAGCAACTGAAACAGCAAGCATACCGACGAGTGTACAAAAGCGTAACTTGACTGCTCCTTTAATTGACTCTGACGTAGGTCTAAACGAAGGTTGGGACGCACCTTGGTCGAATCAAGTTACAAACGAGGTATCATCGATCGATCAAAAAAGGAGTAACTGCCGTCCCATCGGTCGTATTCTCCCACACTTGACAGCTTCACCTCCCTGCGGGCTCCTAGAGACCGAGAAACTGGCCTGTTTGTATACAAATGCTCAGGGTTTTTATTACAAACTGGCTGAACTGAAAGATCGCCAAGCTTCCGGGTCGTATGATGCCATGGACATGGTTGCACACGGGAATGACGGACGCTAAAATTTCGCTACCGGGCATGTCGCTGATCCGGAACGACAGGCTCACAAAAGGAGGAGGGGTAATCCAGTATTACCGAAACGACTTACAGTACGAAGCCTTGGAGGATTCAGACTCGCAGTTCCCCGACTCTCTTTGGTGCCGGTTGCAGTTAAAAGGCAGGGACGCTTGCCTTATTGTCTTGGTGTACCGCGCCCCTAACTCAACACCCGAAACCGACTACCACCTAGCGGTTGCTTTAAGGTGCAGTTTACAACAAAAGTACACTCACATTCTTATCATGGATGATTTCAACGTGCATTGTTTAGAAGCCCATGCCACGATCGGAGAACAATTCAAAACCGATCTAAAAGATCTAGTAACTACTGTTCCTCTTTACAACCACATCACTGCCCACTCGGTTCAGAACTGGTAACAGGCCATCTGTGCTGGATCTTGTGCTTACCAACGAGGAGCATATGATTGATGCGTTGGTTTTAGACTGCTCGTTGGGTCGCAGTGATCACGCAGTCATCAGTTTCAAGTTCATCTGTTATGCAGAATATCTGAATGATAACGATGAGACTGTGCGAGCCATCACAAGGTACGGCCGACTCGCCCAGGTAGTCAGCGCCTCGAAGAAGAACCCCCGGAAGTCGCCTGGCTCGAGTTCGCCAAAACATCCAGTCAGCTGATTGCACACGCTTCAGAGATAAAAGTTTGCAATAAGTGCAATTTAGTTTCTTTCGTTAGGAGCAGAGCTCGAAAATGGATGAGAGTACGAAACGCAGCATGGCGAGTGTACAGAGAAGCTCCAGCACCAGAAAATTGGGACACCTACGTAGCCCAACGTAACCACTGCACTCAACTGTTAAGAGAAGACAAAGCCGCCTATCAGCAGAACGTCGCAACAACCTTCAGTGCTAACCACAAACTGCTGTACAAGCACGTTAATAGCCTATGAAAGGTGAGGCAAGGATTTCCTCCACTCAAGACGGCTGATGGCCCAACCAGAACATATATGGAAGATGCAAACGCGCTGCAGATGCAATAAGCCCCCACGTTTCAAAGAGTCTTGCCACCAAGTGATCCACCAAGCTTTGTATTCTGCTCACCAGGACTAACCCACATCAATTGTACCGCAGAGGCTGTATTGCAAAAGCTGACTTCTCTACGCAAACACAGATCGCCGGGTGTCGACACCATTCGTCCAGAGGCATTGGAAGCAGCAGCATGCCAAATAGCAGGACCGTTAGCTCAGTTTTTCCAGCGCTGCTTAGACCAGAACCAATTTCTTGCCATGTGGAAGCTTGGAATAATAACCCCGATTCACAAAGGTGGAAGCAGAACTGATCCCTCCAACTACCGCCCAGTAACCCTTCTTCCTGTACTCTCCAAGGTTATGGGATCCATAGTTACCGACGCACTGGTGTGCTATCTGGAAAACTGCAACCTCATCACTCCTGAACAGCACGGTTTCCGTCGACAGCGGTCATGTACAACTAATTTATTAACTGCACGCAGTAATTGGACCGAGGCAGCTGACGTTGGAGAAGGTGTTGATGTGATCTACCTGGATTTTTCCAAGGCTTTCGATCGTCTAGACCATCGGATACTACTATCCAAGCTGCAGCATTACTGGGTCGGCGAACCTCTTTTAAGCTGGATCACCAGCTTTCCACTTCAACGGCAATTAGTGGTCAGAGTTCGGAGCTCTTTATCGGACCCCATACAAGTCGAGTGTGGTGTGCCGCAAGGCTCGGTTCTAGGTCCGCGTTTGTTTTTGGTGTTTATTAATGACCTTGCACAGTGAATCGCTTCAAACTTCCTAATGTTTGCCGACGATATCAAGTTCTGGCACAGGATCCAGGCGAACGCCGACCAACATGTGCATCAGAGTGACTTAGTTACAGTGTATCAATGGTCGACCCAGAACTTATTGCATTTTAACGCCAGTAAATGCAAGGTGCTTTCCATCCGACATCAAAGCAGCTACTCATACCGACTCGGAACGGATGTACTGCAACAATCAACTCTCGAACGTGACTTGGGTGTCCTGGTTCAAGATGACTTGGGTTGCTCTAGGCAATCCAAAAAGGCCTCCAAGGCCTGGAACCAACATGTGGGGCTGTGGAGGCGGGCGTTTGGACAAATAAACAGCTCCATATTTCGACAAATGCTCAGTGCGTATGTTCGCCCCCATGTCGAATTTGCAATTCAAGCCTGGCATCCATGGCTGAAACACGACCTTAATGCACTGGAGCAGCCACAACG